AAGGCCATCGAGGATACCAAGATTAATCCCGATAAGATCAAGGCCATCGAGGACATCACCGTTGTGGACAATGTCAAGGCTGTTCAAAGGTTAGCCGGGCGCATAGCCGCTCTGGATCGATTCATCTCGAGATCCTCCAACAAGAGCCATCGGTTCTTCTCATTGTTGAATAAGAAGAATAACTTCTCATGGACCCTGGAGTGCCAACAAGCCTTGGAGGAACTCAAGCGGTACCTATCGAGCCCACCTTTGCTTCACACTCCAAAGGCAAACGAACAGTTGTACCTGTACTTAGTGGTATCCGAGGTAGCGGTAAGTGGCGTCCTGGTCCGGGAAGATGAAGGTACGCAATTCCCTATCTATTATGTTAGCAGAACTCCAGGCGAGGCCGAAACTAGGCATCCTCACCTAGAAAAATTGGCACACACTTTGCTAAGTGCCTCTAGGAAGCTAAAGCCGTATTTTCAATGTCATCATCCCATATGTGTTGTAACTACTTACCCATTGAGAAGCATAATGCATAAACCCGAGCACTCGGGATGATTGGCCAAACGGGCCATGGAGATCAGTGGGTACGATATCAAATATCGACCCTAAACCACCATCAAATCTCAAATTTTGGCATACTTCGTGGCCGACTTTACGCCGCCCCTAATACCCGAGGTCGAAAAAAGAATTGTTGTTGAACTCAGGTACTTCCTCGGGAATCTATACCCTATTTATTAATGGTTCCTCGAACACAAAGGGGTCCAGACTTGGCATTGTGTTGAAGCCACCGATAGGTAATGTAGTTAGACAATCTATTAGGACTATAAAATTGAATAACAACGAGGCCGAGAATGAGGCCATGATTGCAGGTCTCGAACTGGTTAAAATCCTGGGGGCCGAGGTGATTGAAGATAAGTGCGACTCTCTCCTTGTGGTGAACCAAGTCAATGGGACGTTCAAAGTCAGATAGGAACGAATTCAAAGATACCTGGACAAACTGCAGGTGACGTTACATCGGTTCAAGGAATGGACTTTACAACATGTACCTCGAGATCAAAACAACGAGGCCAATGCTCTTGCTAATTTTGGATCGTCGGTTGATGACAATGAATTCAACTCGGGTACAGTCGTGCAACTCATAAAATCGATAGTGGACGAAGGCCACGTAGAGATAAACTTAACCTGGGGCTGGAGAAACAAGTATAGATTACCTGAAGACCGGGAAGCTGCCCTCGGATCCTAAGGAATCAAATTGGGATGGTCCATATCGTATTATCGGGATCACCGGCAAAGGATCGTACATACTCAAAGAGATGAATGGTGAGCGGCTACCGAACAATTGGAACGTAACCCACTTAAAACTGATGTTATTGCTAAGGTACGATCCCATTCATTACTTTTCTTTATATATATTGTGAATTGGACTAATGCTTGCTGGTAACGGTTAAGAATAACGCAACTCTTAGGCCTGAAAGCACGCGTTGCACTCTTTTTCCCTTGAACCAGTTTGGTCCCAAATGGGTTTTCCGGCAAGGTTTTTAACGAGGCAACAGTGGATCGTGCTAAACTTAGAATTGAAGACCGGTCATGCACCTGAGTCGAAGATCACATCAACAATATCCGAACCCTTTCTGTGATCGGCTTTGAATACTGGGGGCCATCACTCTCGGATAATGGTTTTAGCAAGGAAGGAAACTTTGTGCTCGAACAGTCTAGGCTCAGTGGATAGGATTTATTGTAAGGGCCAAACGGTCAAATGAATCATGCCCACATAGACCACTTAAGCCATAACACGAAGCTTGCATATACATATTTTGTCTCTTAAAAACTACTACATTTTTTTCCTCAAGGACATCTAGCCCAAGGGCCACTTCGATCCGGATCCGAGAGATCAACCCACTCGGGGACTATCGTCCAAAACAAACTCGGGCGGCTCGGGTGTCGAAGCTCGGGGGCACAAAAACCTATTAGGCAGTACCTGAACCTTAATGGCAATGGCCAACCCCACTTGGGGACTGTCGTCCTGGGTAATCCCGGATGGCTCGGGTATCGAAACCCGGGGTAATAAGCCTATTGGGCAAAACCAAAACTTAAAAGGCTCCGGCCATCCTAAAAACGGCTCAGAGACGTCCGAAACCCGTAACCAAAACATAAGGCCTTAAAATTTTGCAAGCCGATTCAAAGTCTACCCTCGACAAAATTATATTCTAAATATTCCTAAATAAGCACTTCGGGGAAAGCTTCCGGTCATACCAAGCCCCCACGAGTCTTAAGAAAAATTGCATCGAGAACGAACCTTGTTCGAACCTCCAAACAAGACCTAATTATTACATGCTAAAGCATTCGAAATCTTTGCAATCATAAAGAAAAAACAAAAAGAAAAAAACTTGAAAACTATCGAAGGGAAAAAGGAAGATCCTTATATATATATATATATATATATATATATATATAAAGATCTTTACAAAGGCCAAACAGCCTCAAGGAATAATACAAAAGTACAAAAATGAAGAAAAATCTACAAGGCACCCAAGCCTGATCTTCGCCGAAGCCCGCCTCATCATCGGGACCGTCGGGGTCTTCTCCGCCCTTGGACCCGCCGGAACCCTCGGAGCCTTCCTTGTCCTAGGGATATGCCAACTTCTTGGCCTCAGCCTCGAGCTTCTTAACGTTTTCGATCTCGGCCAATAAGTCAAAACCTCGGGCATGAGCTTCCTCGAGAGCCTCCCTTTGGGACTGCCACTTTACGTAGTCGGCAATAACTTTCAGGCGGTCCTCGGTTGCCTCGGCATCAGCTTTGTATTGGGCCACAATATCTTCAGCATCGGCCCTGGTTATTTTCGCCACTAACTTGGCTGCTTTAAGCTCCTTGGCAAGGGTATCCCGTTTAGCGACCGTTGAGACTAAAGGTCTTCGATTTTTTGGGATCGGGCCTCAGCTTTCTCCCTCGCCGCTCGAAGTTGGATCTCCACCGAGGCAAGTTGATCCCGGGCAGTCTCCTTTTTTGAAGCCAAGTGATCCATCTTGCTTTTCCACTCTTTAGCCTCGACCTTAATCATGTCCATATCGGCTCAGAGTTGGTCGATCCAGTCAAGCTTCTATTGGACTTGCGGGTTTTGACCATTACTCGACATGTCTAGCGCGTCATCACTAAGTTAAAAAATATTTACCTGTTCTAGCAGGTTGGCATGTTCTTTCTTAGCCGCGTACAACTCGACTCGAAGGCCCTTGACTTCTCTTCGCGTTGCTCGTTGAGAAGCTTATACATGTTTCCTTCTCAACAAGCTCATTGACTTCAGCCTCGAGTTGGCTAAGCTCATCCTAGTACCGAAGGAAAGTCTCGTGGTGAAGCATTAAGGACTGCAAAATAAGGAAAGGAAAAAGCATTAGAATCCTCAAAAACTGAGTCCGAAGATAAAAGAGTATGATAACACCTTACCTAGTTCAGCGCCTGTTGCGCTTCGTTGAACAAGCATGGTGCATCCACCTCATTCATTTTTGCTTGTTCTTCTTCAGTTACCAGGCACCAGAGGTAACTAGCTATCCCGGCATGGGCGAAAAGAACCCGGGCATCCTCCGGAACAGGGATAATAATCGTCGCTTTCGACCAGGATCCGAGCTCGGGGCGGGGAACCGGTTAACCAACCTCGGGCTCGAGTTAGTCCTGCCAACCTCCGAAGATGAACTTTTCCTCGGCACCTCTAAGTCACCCAACCCGGTGACGTCTTATAGGGCTGTGTCCACGCCATCAAAATAGCAGCGGAGGGGATCGTCCACTTCGTGAGCCCCCTCGTTTGGTCGCTCTTTCATCGTTCGGGCCTCGTTGAACATGGATTCGGTAAACGAGGGCGAATCGATAATATCTATCACACCGAGTGCCTCATTCGGGGCACTACCGGCATCCCGAGAAGTCTTAGCCCCCGCCTCCTCATCAACCTCCCTAGCTTGAGGGAAATCGGCCTCATGGGTCTCTTGTTCAACGGCCCCTTGCTCTTCGAAGGGCAACGGGTCGCGGTCCACAAAAGGCTTTTCCTCCTCGGACTCATCCCTAAGCCGGTAGAGCAAGTCCGAATCTGGTGCTCGAGGATGGATCTCTCTTTTGGCTTACGAGCCAGTCTTCTTTTTGGTTTTTTCTTCTCTGAGCTCGGGGAGCCCAAAGCCTTTTGTTTTCTGCTTCCTCTCTCCTGTTGCAACCCCTAGCTGCCCCAAAGCAGAAGAGTCAACGGGCAAGTCCTCGTCCCCGACCATAAGCCTAAGCTCGACTGTCTTAGGCAAACCTGCAAAAAGAAAATAAGGGAAATAAGAACGCGATGCTAGAAGAAGAAGCCCAATACGACTTGCTCGGGAAAGGAATCTTACCATGGGAACAGGCCTCCCAATGGCCTTTCGAGAGTTTGCGCCATGAGCGCTCGGAGTAGGGCATCTGTGACACAATACCCTCGACCCACTCCTTGAGCCGAGGAATAGCATTTGGAACTCGAGCAAGGGCTGCACCACAACAAACACCAATAAAAGGGAAGATAAAACTTAAAATCGACACTTAAAAGGATTAATACTTACGTGATACGTTCCACTTCTCGAGGAACAGCCTCTACTCGGCTGGTATCAGGTCGGCGATCCTCACCTGGACAAAGCGTTCTTGCCAACCCCGATTCCGGTCCTCGTCGATGCTCGAAAATGGGGCTTTGCTGGCCGGCGTAAAATCTTTATCATCCCCCCCCCCCAGAAGATTCTGGGACTGTACAAGCGGAGTAGATGATCGATGGTAAACAAGCACGCATCGATTTTGTTCACAAAGAATTAGAGGAGGATCACGATCCTCCACAGTGATAGGTGAATTTGGCTGAGGCATACGTTATACGTCCTGCAGAAGTCTAAGATGACCGGGTCTACCGGGCCAAATATAAAGGGATAAGTGTAAAAATTAGACCACAACAAATAGAACAAACTGTAAGAAATCTCTTTCAGTGCAGCTCTATTGTTATAACCAACGAGAAGCACCAAGACGAGGGATGGCATATACACGTCGCAATAAAGAACTCCAATGCTTCAAAGAACAATGTACTCTGATATCCCTCAACATGGGTGGTAATGGCCTCCTCGGAGTTGGGGGACACTATGTCCTTGTCAGCCCAGTTGCAATCTTTTCGGACCGTGGGGAGGTCCTCTTCGGTAATTTAGCAAATGTATCTTGAGGCCTCCTCATGCCGACCTTGTACCAAAGAAGGCTTCTTAACCTTAAAGTCGTCGGTGACCGAACAACCCCCAGGAATGAACATTTTCAAGGGGGATCTCCCGCCGATTCATCGGCGCCCGTGCCCGGAGCAGAACTCTCGAGGACAACCATGTCAGGGGTGGTCTCCCCGACCTCAGTGGTCGTCCGCAAAGAAGAAGGAGCATCTTTTTGGAGAACAAATTTGGAGGGTTTGGCCATTGTTATCTGGAAAAGTTTGAAAAACAAAGAGAAAGGTTGAAAGTAGAAAGCTTAGATGCGTTGGCTTGAGTAGAGAATGACTGAAAATTTTGCAACATACTGAGGAATCTTGAATGATGAAGGTGAAAATGCTAAAATATGAAAAAGAGTAATGAAATCTTGAGGGTACAAGGGTAGAAGTTTGGACGCAAAGTAAAAAATGAACGAAGGAGGGGATATTTATAGGGGTTCCGCGACGTTTCACGTCCAGGGACAGCCAACTGGCGGCTGACACGCATTTACAGTCATAATGACATGACTGACGAGACGTTTCAGGTTTTTTGTCGTTTCTGTCACAGCGTATTGAAGAAGGATTCGGGGAGCACATGTCGTTTCTCGTCAACTTACTCTCCACGAAACGAGGGGACTATCTGGATACGGGTACGGGCTCATGGTACACCCTGGTCTCCGATAAGATAAACCAAGCTTGAGACATGATGACAAGGGACCGGAATCTAGGAAAGAGTCTCATCGAGTCAGAGTCCGGGGGGCACGGCGCCCGCCCTCGAAAATATTGGGGTCATGATCCGGGATCGATCCTAACCCTGAAAGACTTCGGAGAACTTTGTCGGGCAATCAAAGCACGACCAATAGAAGGTCGTAATATCCGCGACCGTCCGGGTATCACGGCGTGGATCTCGGCACGTATCGATGAAGAACCGGCAGTCAGATAAACAGAAGATTTTTTTATCTTTTATGGAATTGTATCTAGAGTAGGTTTCCCTACTATATAAAGGGGGGTTCGGTAATTTATTAGACACATGTAACACGCATTTCAAGGCAATATGATATTATTTTCTCTGTTCTCGAAGGTTCTTATTCTTGTTCATCAGTACTGGTCTTTGTGAGCCCGGATTGGGGTGAATATTTCATTGAGGCTAGAACCATTTTCTTCATGTGGTTTGAGTTTATTACATATTTATTTATTTAATCTAACGCAAGTTATTGTTTGTATCGAATTAATCCGCATATCCTTAAAATCACTTACAAATTTAATTGTTATCCATTTCTGAGGGTAAACGAAGAGCTCATTTCATCTTATATTGAAGTTTGAAAGATAATGCAACGAGAAGTATTTTTATTTTTCAAAGTTTATGGACTAAAGGATGGCAAAAATTTAGGAAATCTCATAAAGGAAGAATCACTTAGTATAGAGAAAATTCAATTATTTAATGCGAAACATCATATTAGTCATAGCATTCTTTACTAAAATAAGAGAGTAAATTATTTATCTCTTTCTAAAATATTAAGATTTTTCATCTAAAAAGATACAGTAGGAAAATTTGAATCTCGGCGTGCTTGACATTTATAACCAAACATGATAAGGGGTATTTTGAGTACAAAATGCTAACTTTTATATTAAATGTTTCGAACTAACAATCTCCGGTTTGAGTAATTGGCATTACATAAATTGAAGAATTTGAATAGTTTACTATTTTGAAAGAGAATGAGTAGCATTACCAATTATTTTCTTTTTGAAATAAAAATACTGAGAAATTTTATTTTGAGTGAGACATGCCATGTAATAGTTGAGTGACGGCCGTGGTTGCTTGCCAAATGGCACATGTGTGACCCGCATTTAATGAATAATCCGCTCTCTCCATTCACCTTTACCGTTCCCCAGCCCCACCCCCTCTCTCTCTCTCTCTTCCACTTTCTTTTTCTTCCTCCATAACTTTTAAAGTTGACTAGGATTTTATTTTAATATATTACTTTGATTTATATGATATATCAGTAATTGTTATAAATAGAATTTTATTTATGGTGAATGTCTATATTTTTAGAGATTCTAGGATTTATTACTTGGTGGCTAAGTCACCCTCTTCCTATAAATAGAGGGCTCTATTCCATTGTAATTCATCCCAAATCAATAAGAATCCTCTCTCTTTACTTTTCTCTGCAATACTATTGTTCTTCATTTATTGTTTCATAACACGTTATCAGCACGAGACTCTAACCAATTGAGTAGAAGCTTTGGGATTGAGCATAATGATTGTCAATTATTCCATGAACTTCCTTCATGATTAAGTTATGGATTTAAGGTAAGTATTTTACTTTATTTTTCTCTTTTAAATTCTTGAAATTCTATAATTTGATTTTATATACAAGCAAAGACAACAAAGTTTGATTATAACTCTAATGGAGTTTGTAAGAAATTATAACCACCTGAAGTGGTAAAAATTTCTATGTCTTGCCATGATCAAATTCATGTATGATTATGGGCACAAAAAGCGGAAACCCATCCCATTGAATTTGCTCCATTCTCATTCCCTTAAGAAAATGTGATAGCAGTATGTGATAAGTCTAAAAGAAGACAAAATTATAGCTATGAATGTATCAATGGATGTGGACGTGGCAATAGACGAAATTATAATCGTCATCATTGTGATAATGAGAATAATAAGGATTTTCAAAATAATCTCCCACTTGTGAAAGTAATATTTGTCATCGATTTGACACGAGATTTTATAATGCACATACAGATGACTATGGTCAATTCATGATGTGAATGTGAAAACATCTGATTTATGAATATATATTCATTCTTGGAAGAATATGAACGAGCTAGTGGTATTGAATATACCACACTCACCTCTAGAAGGAGAATCAATATCATTATTATGGCATGAATGGTCATTGGTCACGTACCTATTGTACGCCAAAATATTTTGGCAATGTGATTATTAAAGGACAACAATAATGCAAGAAACATATCTCGCATATAATTTTGACCATGACCATAATGGTATAACTTTCTCCTTAAAAGAGATATTCACCATATGGATGTTGATGAATATGCGATAGTACAAAATTAATTGAGAACTCTACAAGAGCCAATTATACTATTTTGGAGAAACACAATTGATTACCAATAAGGTATTGTGTTGTAGTAAGTCTTAAAGAAACTTATTCAGTTTCCAAAGTATAGTGAAAGCGGTTGGTTATATTGAGACTATAAATAAAGGAAAGATTTAATATCTTCTATTACTACAACTTGTAGCGGGTAATATGTATGTGAAAAGCTACCCGCTTTATTCTCCAGTTTGTACTACACAAACAAAAGAATGCCACAATAAAGAGAATTTTATTGATATAAAAATTCATATCATAATAAACTTGGAGTTTATTGATAATTGCACATGTCATGCGTAAACCTGAAGTTTATCAATATTGATAATTTATCTAGTTGGCATAATAGATTTAGCCATATCAATTTAAGTATGATGTGCAAAATTAAAGAAAATTCACATGGGTAAATATTAAAGAACTAGAAAGTTCTTTACGAATTCTCTTATGTTGGCTGTTCTCATTAATTAATATACCAACAAAAATTAGGATTGAATCCCATAAATGCTGAAAATATCAAAGGTGAATATGGGCCCATTCACCTGCCATGTATACCATATAAGATGCATATATGAGATGGTTACATATGCGATTATTAATAACCCGCAATATGGTGTTTGCGAGGTAACTTGCTCAATAATTTAATTTCGAGCATAATTTTCAGATTTTCTATTCAAGAAGTTCATCTTGATAAGTTGGTTTACATCACAGTTGGTTTAGCAAAATAATTTATTAAGCGTCGCTACTTAATAGCTAAACAAGTGCTTATGAGAAAAAGTTATATATATCAGTTTGATATACGTTATATACGAAAATATATTATTTTCTCCGCTCACAAGTGGTTCAAGGTCAGGAACCAAATAATTCCATCTTATTATTATTGATGTGCGGTGTATATTTTGATTAACACCATAATGCACAAAGATGGGTTCTCAAAGTTGAGGAAAACAAGTTAGTTTTTCTAACATGAGGGCGAGACATGATAAACAGTTGAGAAAAAGTTACGTGAAATGAATTATCATTTGTACATCTAGATCCTCGAATAAGATAATATGAACTTGAAGTTCATAAAAGGATAATTCATTTGCAATATATTGCAAAGCATGCCAGACACATTCGCTGACCCAAAGAAAGTAACTATATTCTCGTTGCAAATGCTCCTATTAAGTCCTAGAAGGACAAAGTCTTTGGTATGCTTAAAGCGTATAGACAAATCGGTTTCAAATAAACTTCTTGATAAAGAAGAAGATCAAATTATCAAAATGATCATAATAAAGGAGGCAAGTGATCTAGAAGATTACATGACATAACACTTCATAAAATCTCATGGGAGATTCAGGTACCTGAATATATGAATGAAGAGATCTCTATGTTATGTCTTTATGAAAAATGAGGTTGGAACCGATATAAAATGTTTGTCGACGACATCTATAATAACGCTAAATATATATATATGAGGATCTTAAGTCTGGAGAAACAATTTCGAATAGAATTGGTTTCATATGAAAGACATGTAGTTTTGAACATGTAGTTCAAACACTTGAAAGTACAAAGTCAATGATATGTGCAATCAGTTTTCGATATCTTATATGTCTAGCATGACATGAAAACTTGATATGCATCTAAAGTCTATTATATGGCTTATATGACTTGACTTATATGACAATTCATGAAGGATTTAAGTTGCTTGAAGCATATACAATTCTTGATCTTGAAGTACCACTTCCTTAGTGCAATTTGTGCACAAATGTATCTTGCTATAATGATAGGCATGATAATATGATAGCAAGAGTTTTCACCTCTATGTGAAGATATTGAAATTATGATTCCAACAAAATCATATGAAGACAATACATCTATCAAGGATGATGATTTCAAGGTGAAACAAATTCATTGAAGTTACTATGGCTCGTTTGTTTATCAAATATCTACCAAAGATCTTTTGAAGATGGTGCACAAAATTGGAATGCAAATGCTTAAGGATGTGAATTTAAGCTCTCATTAGGGGGAGTTAATACGCGTTTTACTCTTTTTCCCTTACAAGGTTTTGTCCCACTGAATTTTCCTTGCAAGGTTTTTAACGAGGCAACCAAAAGGCGTATTATTAGATATGTGTACTCTTTTTCCTTCTCTAGAATTTTTTTCCCACTGGGTTTTATTTTAGTTAAGGTTTTAACGAGGCACATTATCTGTTGAATAGACATTCAAGGGGGAGTGTTATAAATAGAATTTTATTTATGATGAATGTCTATATTTAGAGAGATTCTAGGGTTTATTACTTGGTGGCTAAGTTACCCTCTCCCTATAAATAGAGGGTTCTATTCCATTGTAATTCATCCCAAATCAATAAGAATCCTCTCTCTCTACTTTTTTCTGCAATACTATTGTTCTTCATTTATTGTTTCATAACAGTAATTATGTAATAAAATATTAAAGTACTAGTTTAAAAGAGAGAAAACATCACATTAAAGCTAATGTGTGAACAATTTAATAAACTTAAATTCAGATAAGGAAAGAAAGGGGAAAAACAAGGACCCATCTTCTTCGTATCCGGTCTCATCATCGACAAGAAAAGACCCAACTTTATCGGAGCCCTAAATATTCTCCTCTCTTCAATCCACTGTTCTCTTTAAAATTTCCAGTTTAGCTACTAGTTGGATCTGTTTAAGGATATGCATAATAGACACGATTTCTATACTTTTAATAAAATATACAAGTTAGGCTGCCGATTGCTTTAATATTTTATGGATCTGATTTCACTTTATGGTATGATTGATGAATATATTAAGTGATTTTTTATGACACTTTCTTTTTGCTTGTGAGATTTTTTTGATAGGCGTTAAGCTTTATGCTATGAAGTTACTGAGGAAGAAGAAGAAAGCGGAAGAAAGAGAGGGGGTGGGGCTCGGGAACGATAAAGGTGAATAGAGAGAGGGGATTTTTCATTAAATGCGGCAAGCAACCACCGCTCTCGCTCAACTATTACATGGCATGTCTCACTCAAAATAAAACTTTTCAAAAACACTTAAGGGTCGTTTGGTTGCCGGTTAAAGTTATGCAGGTATTAGTTATACATGTATTAGTTATGCAGGTATTAGTTATGTATGTATTAATTATGCAAGAATAAGTAATGCAGGGATTACTTATGCATGCATTAGTTATGCAAGGATTAGTCCTTGAGTAGTGCACGTGAAATTCAAAAAAAAGGTCATGCTAACTGTAGTGTATATAATTCTTTCTTGGATTTTGGTTGAATTTCTTGCTATATTGTTACACACTTTATTTAGTAATTCAAAAATATCATAGTACAAGATTGTTATTTGCGGTAGAAAACGAACAATGAAAAGTTTGCTGGAGAAAATGGCAATGATTTGTGGTAAATTGATAGGGGTAAATTTGTCATTTCAGTATTTTATCCATGTATTACTAATGCATGTATTAGTTATTCCATCTTCTCCCCCGCATAAAATAACACACAGATTGACTCATAACTTATACATGTATTATTTATGTAGAATTGTAAAATGCCAACCAAACATGGTATTAGTTATGCTGAATTTTTTACAAAGTAACTAATGGCTACCAAACATGGTATAAATTATGTTACCCCTAATACATGAATAACTTTTCCCCTAACCGGCTACCAAACGACCCCTTAGAGTGTAAGCATAATTGACACCAATAGCAGTGAAAAAACTGTCAGAGTTAAAGTGTTTATTACTTTTAATTATTTTAAAGTTTTCTTTAAAATCACGACCAAAGAAAGATGGGTCATAATACGTTACTTGATAAAATATCTTTACCTTTTCTTTTGTCTTTCCTTAGATTAAATGAAATTAATAATTAAAATTTGCAGTCCCTCAAATTATCTCTAATTCAAAATTACCAATTCAAATATAATTTATTAAATATTTTAAATTGTATTTACTTAGGAACTAATAAATAATTAAACGTATATCAAATAAAGCCACTTAAAAAGTTTCTGAATGGTACCGGAATGTTGTAAGAATCGACAAAGAACTAATACAATACAATAAAATATAACTAACAATCAATACTCAACAGGTAACAATCATCCAAACAAGCTGTAAGAATCGATAGAAAAACAATTAATCAAAATATATATCTAGACACAAAGTGTAGTGTTGAGCCCGGGCATAGCCGCACTAGTGTCCTACTTCTTAATAAGAGGGAATACTGGCACCTCTCCGTCGCTTCTCTGAAGTTAACAATTTATCTGGGGGTATTGTTGTTATTTTACGTATTTTCAGGCTAACTCTGCATTTCTTTAGCAGTTGCTTCTTCCTTGAATTTTGACATCGGGAATTGATCCTCGACCCCCAAACACGATCCCGGCTTAATCCCTTGGGCTTTTACTCAGACTTCAAAGCTCCAATTAGCTCGAATTCGTTCCATAACATCTACATAGCTCAGAATCACTCCTACAAGGCATAACACACTCAATAAGTGCAAAACATTAGCGATTAAATCTCAAACACAATAAAAATACAGTAATTAGAGTGCGATAAGCGACTAAAATACGTAATTATAGCCTACCATCAATTTTCCTGATAAGAAAGTGACTCTGGTGCACAAGGGATCAAGATTATTGGAATTCATCAGAGAAAGTGCAAGCAGAAAGACACTAAATTGGCTTACTCCAAAGAAAGTTGAAATCATCTTAGGTCAATCTGCCGATTTAAACTCTGCATCAGGTGGAAAAACCATAGTTGCTGATTGCCATTTCATTTGCATAGGAAAACCAAATGGTTCGACATGGCTAAAAGAAACTATCTTAAAGGATAGTTTGGACAGTCATAGTAGGCTAATGGTTGATTCAAATTTGAGAGTCAAGGGTCACTACAATATTTTTGGCATTAGAGATATCACTGATATTCTAGTAAGTAATCCAATCTTTTCTCAACCTCTTAAATATTTCTTATTGCATCGGATTTGTTCTTAGCTTTGTGATGGTGAAATATTTCTCACTGATATCACTTATTGCATTGTTAATAAAGGGAGCAGAAGATAAAAAATTGACATAATATGCCAGCTACTAAGCCATTTGCCATAATTTCACTGGGGAGAAAGAAAGCGGTGGCTCAATTTCTCTGTTTCTCTATTGCTGGACGCGTCATCTGGGGATTTAATTGTTGGAACAACGCGAAAGGGACTTGGTCTGCAACCTGATGTCTAGTAGTCTTGTATATATCAGGATATATACAAGTCGCTATATGAGTTGGTGTGTTGAGTTTGATCATTCTTCTTAGGAGTGGATGTTGTTTTGAGTTTGTGGTCATTTTTGTAACTGGTGTTGTATACTGTTAGATGCTTCTTTCTAACTGATTTGTTCATTTCTGTGATTTTTGTTTTGGATGTTAAAAAAGAGTGTTTATTATGGACGACTTATTTTTTTAAAAATCGTGGAAAAAGTTTTTTTTTCTTTTCTTCTTGCGAAAAGCTTCTATAATGAAAATAATCGCGGGACGAGAACAACATTAGCGTACCTGTCAACGTAGTGGAAGAATTGTTGAACTCACCATCAAAAGAATTGCCCCAAGTCGAACTTTGAATCTCTTGGAAACAAAGTTGGAATTTCACGAACTAAATGTCTTCTTGAGTTGATTGAGAAGAAATTTTTGATCCCACTCTTACTTTTTATCTCTATTGTCTTTTAGAAAAGAAGAAAGCGTATGTTTATATGGAGAGGGAAGATAGCAGTTATGGGAAAACTGCTCCCACTACGCTTAAACGTGTAGTAACCTCTTTGAGTCTCACTACACTTAAACGTGTAGTAACCTCTCTTTAAAGAGGTTATTTTAAGGGAAATTTTCATAAAGCACTATCTTTTAGTAGTAATTAGTAACCTATAGATACCATTTACTATATAACGGATTATAGATACCTTTTATGTGGTTATAAGTTGTACTTGATGTATTTAAGCTATTGTATTCATGAATACAGTAGTAAAAATAGGCGTGAATCAGGGAAGTCCAGCTAATCAGTTATTGTATTCGAGTGTATTCGACTGTATTCATGGAGTGAAACATGGGATTACAGCTGGACAGATTATTGTACTCGACTGTATTCACGATGTGAAATAGGGGATTACACTGTTTTTAAAACGGAAAGTGAATCAATTAACATAATAGACTCCTAATATAACTCAACAAACTCAATTATAACACACAAATTTTGTATTTTCAGTTATAGAAAAGATTCTCAACCGAAAAATACCCCATAAACATAGCAATCTTCAGAGAAATTATATAATACATCTGAATACATAAATTATATTAATTAAAAAAAAACTTTTCATCGCAAAAGATAAAGTTGTGGCATGGTTGTCACGTGGAATTGCTCTGGATTGATGAAGTTGATTTAAAACTGAATCAGAGGAAGGCAAATCAGATGGACTACCAAGAGCAGTATATGTCAAGACCTCAACAAAATGTGCAGCAACCATTAGAAAATTCACTCAAATACACGACTCACTGTATATATGTCTCGGTTTTGGGCAAAAGGAAGAGTTTAGTCTTGATGAGGGCACAATACGACACTTGCAGGTGTATGTATCTGATTAAAACTGATGCAGAATGGTGCTCTAGGACTTCAACAAATTTGTAGAAAAGAATTGATTTTTCCACGGCAATTCATATGCTGAAGTGTTCATATTCCACGGAATTTGCATAAGATCTGGAATTGACACATTCCGTCATTGGCACTAAAATAGCCGTCGCAGCCGGCGAAGATAAATCCACAAATCCTCCTTCCTCATGCTTCTGCTTCACTACCCCAAGAGTCATCTGTGAAAAATTGCTCCTCAAAATTTTCACCCTTTTGATTCTCCTAAACATGAAGCTTTATCACCAATAATATCACCAATAAAGTGTTTGGTTACCTTTTGAATCTTTCATACTTTGCACAAATCCGGTGGAAGGAGGAGGAGATCGGAAATTTTAATGGGATAGGGGAAGAGAATGGGATGTATTAAAGTAGAGAGAGAAAGAAAATAGTGTNGTAAAGATAAATCTGAGACGAAACACTGTTACAAAACCCGGAAAATACTCCAGTATATTATGCTGGAGTTCCAGCATAAGTATACTTGAACTCCAGCATATTATACTGGAGTTCCAGGATAGTATGCTGGAACTCCAGCATAATATGATGGAGTTCCAGCATAAATACACTAGAACTCCAGCATAATATACTGGAGTTCCAGCTAGTATAATGGTCCAGTATAATATACTGGAGTTTGGAGCACCAGTGCTCCAGTGCTCCAGTATATTATACTGGAGCCAGCAAAGTACACCGGTCCAGCATAATATGTTGGAATTCATACACAAGTGCACCGAACTCCAGTATATTATGCTGGACCGGTCTCTATTGCAGCAAAACGGTGGCTATTTTTCATTGACTTGGTAAACGCTGACTATTTTTGATTGACCAGTCCGAAAAATGGCTATACCGTGAAATTTTGGCCTAAACCACGATATGGCCAAGGAATTAGACAGCCCAACGATACATTTGCTTGGGATCCAGGTTGAGTAGGGAGTACGTGACAAAGGGGATGAAAGGGTGTCATCGGTAGTTTTAGAAAATATATGAATTGTGATGTTGAATATGTTCTCTCTCATCTCTGCTCTATATCACTGATTTCCTCATCCCCTTCTACAGTGGCGAAGTCACATGTACATAAGGATGGTCAACTGACCACCCTTCGTTAAAAAATTATATTGCTTACATATGTAAAATATAACGTTTTAGAGGTATATAATACATACCGAACACCCTTTATCCGGAAATATTTTCACTTCTTTTAAATTTGAACACCCTTCCTAAAATTTCTAGCTTACTGCCCTTCTATATCGGTTTCTGTTTCTCACCTCTTTAATTTCTTCGTATCAGTTCTTCTATGTTACTTCAAGTGTTATTCCTTGTAATTCTGTGTAGTAAGGGCAATACTACAACTGAGTTTATTTATGTGCGAATTGGATATTTCAACTTCGTTACATCCTCCACCCCCTACTCCTTTTTGCTTCGCGTCTACTTCAGCATGTTGTTTAATGGTGAAGTATCCGATTGCCATATATATTTGAGAAAGACATATCCCATACTACAAAGACCACGTACTAGTATTAGTCATTAGATTAGAGAAAATATATAAATTTTTTATTGAAACTAAGATGCTATTGTCAAAATTTGGCAGGTTGGTATAATGGTATGCCGACCTTTTGCAATTTGCGAAGTGCTGTCGGACTCTTGAGAGAGAAAATCTTCTAGTTAGAAATTGCTTGAGATTTTTTTAAAGTGCAAATATAACATTGTAAAACAACGGGGAATTATCACTTTTAGCATGCGCCAGAAACTATTTACATTCGATAGCCGAAAAGTGTATAAAATTTATATAATTTTTGTATACAACATACAGAATGTATATATATACAAAAAATATACATTTTCAACTACTATTTTAAAAGCGACTATACAATATCATTTTCCCTAAAACGTTATCATGAAACTTAGCAGAGCTATCCAGTATGCAATGACTTTTGGTCCTTCCTTTCCGTGACAAAGACCTTTTGGCTTTTACGCTAGTTTGATAATTAGTGACTTAAGGTGGAATACAAAAAATAATTTTGTTCTGTTTTGCTTTGAAATTTTTTTGGTGTCTTTTTTGCCTTTTCAAGAAGTTGCTCTATGAATCTGTTACAAAAGAAATGATTCTTTTAAAAGAAAACCAAAATTGTTTTTACACAAAAAAGCAGCTGTTTTATTCAGCAAACATGTTTTGAAAAACAAACCAAAAACAAAGAATTCGCCTATTGCCCCAAATGACCAGTTTAATGTACTTATGTACATGCTATATAAACACATCGCCGCTGTAAAAAATTTAACAGTTGAAAGTAGTTATCTGCGACAGGCTATATTTTTTGTGAATCCTACTTGTGACTAAAGGAGACATAGCTCTTGACAGTTTGAGGTGCACAGGATTCGATAAGGCACATTATAGCTTTAACAATATCAAAACTGATTCGAAGAACTCAACGCTGCAAACAACGGTTGTTATATCAATTCTCCATGCTGCACAAGATAAGCTCATTTACAAACAAAACAAAACCTTGGAAGACAGCAGATTTTCAATTTCCTTTCTTTTTGCTCTGAGTATTTCTATTCTTTTTTCGTTCACTCGTATACCTATCTTCGTAATCTTCTTACTGTTGTGTTGCTTGATTTCCCATGTACACATTGCCTGACTCTGCAAATGCTCTCTTGAGTAGACTGAAAGCACCAATGATAAGCAACATCACTATTACCTTCTTTGATGCGAAGACCCTGAGATTTACCCTGAAGCCATGCTTTCTCATGAACCTCACCCCAGACACGCGTAACACGAGAAGCCAGGAAATGAAAGAGCACAACACAACTTTAATCGTCTCCGTCGGTCCAGATACACTCCTTGCATCACTGGACAAGTCAACATATGACCAAGAAGGAGCCTCTTGGCTGCTATCGACCTGGCTCAACCCAAGACTCTCATTCAACCAGCCTGATAGCTTTACAAGCACCTTTGCCAGCCACGCGATTTCATCATCTGAGATGGGCCGCTTCATCCAATCACCCTTGTATTTAATATCGGCCATCGTTCTGTTGCCAAAACTTCTGGGTGTAAAGATTTCATCCCGCGAATGCTCACACTGTACAATTTCTGGCGTATTCAGGGGCTTTAAGATAGGGCCACCAAATAACTGGCCAAGCTCAGATTTTAGTCTGTCCAAACACTGGAGGTTTTGTGTAAGATTTTCCCCACCAATTGATTGCAGTTCAGATTCTGCTCGCAATACAAAGAGCTGACAAACAGGTTGGACTGAGTTAGTAACATATATACACAAGCGCAACCTACACGGAACGGATATCTAGAGTGCTAAATATTGATCACCTGAAGCAACTTTTGTCCACCATCTTCACCATCACTGAAGAGTCGTAAATCTTTGTTCCAGTTCTCATGCAAAAAAGAACCATCAGCCTCAGTCTCAGATAGGCCGTCCTCCCAGTCCTGACATAATAGGAAAAGAACATAAGAATTGTAAAGAAGTGATATTGGAGCTCACATGGATAAGCATAGAATTTAGCCTTACTAGAAAGGTCACACAAGAAAGACAATACTTTATGGAAAATCTGATGGGCCTTGGGGCTTGGGCATGAAGAGTCTCATTAGACAAACTTGCACATTTATATTACAAACCCTTAATCTTCGTCCTAGAACACTTGCAATCAGAGACAGTTTCTCATACAATTCCTTAGCGCATGACCTATTTTAGGAAGACGATAATAGGTTTCATAATGGTAA